AGCCTTTTGTCAAAAGATCAACTGTCCATAGGTGGATGGATTTATTTTTGAGTTCTTAAATGTTTTATTGTGCAGGACTGCAAGGTTGGCGGTTTGAACTGGAATGGTGGTGGTTCAAACACACCAGGTGCTCCTTGGAAACCCTATACAGGGTCACTATGGGTCGGAACCGACTCGACGGCACTTAACAACAACAACATTTAGCACTAAGTTTTTACAGGCAGTGTGGTCTCTTTTGTTCACGTCTCTATATCCCGTGAGTAGAATAGGTCTGGGTTCACAGGAAGACTGGATAAATGTTTGTGAGATGAATGAATACCCACTTGCCTCATCCCCTAAGTTGACTCTAAAGCTGGATAGGTGGAAGCTCTCCAGCCTCCTCTACCCTGTTTCCTGAGCACTCCGAGCCCCACATCAAATCAGAATCGTAGCCTGATCTCAACTGGACTCAGACTTCACCCTCACCTAGTGTAGGAGTCGAGGCTCGAATGCCTTCTCTTCACACCTGCATTCATCATCTGCTGCTCTCTCCTTTCTGCCCCTAAGAACTTGAAACACCAAACTTCCTTTCTGGGTCTCCTTATGTTAAAGTCCGTGTTCCTTTAGTCATTCATTCACCACACATTAAGGATGGTCTACTGTGGGCCAGGGTTGCGGGCTCTCGGGAACGAATGAGGCACTCAGGAGCTATGGTGGGGGTCTGTGACCTGGTGGTCCCACTGTTCATCTGACATGAACAGTCGACAGGGAAGGCTCGGCTGTTTGCAAGTAAGTCTTGAATTTGCTCTACTGAGTAAAGGCATCGGTTCTTCTCAGTGGTTTGATTGACTGTCTTGCCAGCTTAGTATCTGTTTCTCTCCTTGTAAAAAAAAAAAATCAGCCTGTCTTTTCTAGGTGTGCACGCAGTGTTCATGTCTGTTCTTTTTCTGACAGGTGAACTTTAATGAGCCCTTGTCCATGCTTCAGCGCCTTACTGAGGACTTGGAATACCATGAGCTGTTAGACCGAGCGGCCAAATGTGAGAACTCTCTAGAACAGCTCTGTTATGTTGCAGCTTTCACCGTGTCCTCCTACTCCACCACTGTCTTCCGCACCAGCAAGCCATTCAACCCGCTCCTCGGGGAGACCTTCGAGCTGGACCGATTGGAGGAGAATGGATATCGATCCCTTTGTGAGCAGGTAAAGGGGCCTGGAGATGCCAACAGCTCTCCCTTTGGAAGAGAAGGGTGACTTTTCAGTGGATCCTCCTGGATGTTCCATTAGAACTTCTTTCTGTTGTCCCAACCAGCCTTCTTTTCCGTGGGTGCTGGATCCCCGTGCTCATGGGTGTGGTGTGAACACATCAGATGTGACTTTTAGGTGTTTGTCAGTGCGTGGTAGATAACATCATCCTTTCCCTTCTGAATTTGAACCTCTGGTTTCCTCCAGGTGAGTCACCATCCGCCCGCCGCTGCACACCACGCTGAGTCCAAACACGGCTGGACTTTGCGTCAGGAAATCAAAATCACCAGCAAGTTTCGAGGCAAATACCTCTCCATCATGCCCCTTGGTAAGATCACCTTCTTTGTAAGTATTGGTGCTGCAGCCATCAGGCATTTAATCCTGACATGATGAGGTGCTTTAGGGGTCAGGATCCTAGAGGTCAGATGCGACACTGAACTTCCCTGGCTGGCGCTTTGGGGAAGGCAGAGATGTTGAGGGCCCATCCACTTGTGAGCTCTCTGTCCTCCTAGCTATCTGTATGGCATCTTTAAGCTCTGTTGTAGAACAGAGGGTCTGCATTCTGTCCGGCTTCACTGAACTGGTGGTGTTTCCTCAGTGACCCCAGCAGTCGGCTTCTCTCTATTATTGGACTCTTGTGATTGGAAGGTGGGCTTTCTTTACTCATTCCTGCCCTCTCTCTTCCTCTTCTGGATGAGCTAGGGTTAGTTTAGGTAATGGTTAATTTCCAAGTAAGACAAAACCTGTGTTGTAAAGATCTTACTGGAATGCATGAGTCCTGGTGTGGTGCTGTAGGATTGGCACTGGACTGCTAACTGTAAGGTTGGCATTTCACACCTACCAGTTGCTTTTCAGAAACCCCACACTGGGTCTCTGAGTCAGAACCGACTCAACAGCAGTTAACAACAACAACATTGGAATGCAAGTTAATTGTGTGTCAAGATCAAAAGATCTGACTGGGAAGAATTACCCTAATTCAAAGTGTTCCAGGCCTTACGGGAGAGGAGCTTACTCAAAAAGTATCATGGCAATTCTTGCTGTTCTGTTCTCTGGGGCAGACTCATTGGGCCGTGTGTATGCTGAGGTGTGAACGACGGCCTGTAGACAGTGAAAGAAACAGTGCAAACGTTGAGAGTGAAGAGACCAGCGAGAGAGCTGGCAGCAATAACTGCTGTCTCGTGGCTTTCTGGTCCTGTTTCGAGTCTTTCGTAGCCACAGCTCTTGAGGGTTTCTTCTTCACATTCCTCCAGCCAAGGAATGCAGGTGACCCCCTGGAAGGTGAAAAAGGCAAGAAAACAGATTCTCCTCTAAACCTTCAGAAAGAACACAGCCCTGCTGACACCCTGCTTTTAGACTTGACCCCCCCGAACTGTAAGAAAAGAATCTGTATTGTTTTAAGCCCTTTAAGTGATTTGTTACGGCAGCCAGAGGAAACGAATACAGAGGATACTGATTACATACCTGCAGCTGAGATAGCCACAGGTCCTGAGCACTCCTGTGCAGCCAGAAATGATTCTAAGTATGATGGGTCCAGTGGGAACCAAACCAGCTGTAACCTGGTAGTGGTTTTCCTACAAACTAGGTGGCTTAAGATAACAGAAATGTATGCTCTCACAGGTAGGGAGACCAGAAGTGCAAAATCAAGGCACCTGCAGGGTTGGTTTCTTCTGGAGGCTCTGAGGGACAGGTTGGGCCATGGCCTCCCTCACCCCCTCACCCCCACACACCCACCCCCATTCCTGGTGCCGCTTGGTAATCCTTGGCATTTCTTGCCTTGTATAATATCACTTCAGTCTCTGCCTGCGGTGTCACATAGCCTTCTCCCTGTTTGTGTCACTCTGTGTCCTCACGGGACCCTCATGTAAGAACACCAGCTACTGGGTTTAGGGCCCACCCTAGTCCGCTATGACCTCACCTTAACTAATTAAATCTGCAGAGAACCTCTCTCAAAGTAATGTCATAGAGGTTCTAGGTGGACATGAATTTTGGGGGACACTGTGCAACTCCTGTGGACGCCTCATGTGGTGTGTGTGATAGGATAAGGTCGGCGGATCAAACCCAGCAGCTGCTCTCAGAAAACCCTGTACAGGGTTGCTATGAGTTGAAATTGACGCAACAGCACTTAACAGCAACATTCAACCCAGTACAGATTTCCTTTAGCTTGTATTCTTTTGGGGAAACAAAAAGTAAAGAAGTAGATTAACAATTGCATTTTAGACAGTGCTAAGTCTATGAAGAAAACAGAGTTAGTGGAAATAAGGGCACTGAAGGGGGGTGTGTGGTCTGATGGATACGGTGGTCAAATAAAATCCTCTCTCCAAGAAGGCCCCATTAGAACAGAACCCTAAATAACCAAAAGCCGATTGTGGGATGTATTCCAGGCAGAGGGAACTGCAAAGATAAAGAGCTGGAGGCCTGAAAACCCGTAAAGAGGAGTGCTGGTTTCCTACTGCTGCCGTAACAGAAAGACCACAGGTGGTGGCTCGCAAGGAAAGAGAGACAGTGTTCTGTTCAGGAGACGAGAAGCCTGAATTCAGTGTGGTGTCGGCTCTAGGAAAACATCCATGTCGCTCTCAGCTTCTGTAGTTCTGCCATTCTTCAGTTCCTTGGTGTGAGACTCAGGTGGTGTCATTCTGCCCCCTGTGTGCTGCGCTTCTCTCTCCTGCTCCTTATAAGACTCGGAATAGTAAGGCTTAGTACCTACCTTACACTGGCATGACCTCAGCTGACTGATGACATCGCACTAGATTAGCTCCATCCACAGATGGGCATCCTGACACACTTCCATCCATGGTAGAAGGACATAGCAGCTGATTCAGAGTGAGCAAGGAGCTAAGTGGTGGATGGTTGCAGAGGGGTAGGTAGAGGACAGACCTAGTAGGCTCTTGTGCGCCCTGGTAAGGAGTTGGGCTTTATTCTAAGTGTAATGGAGGGTTTGAGTTAGTCTGCTAACACATGTGTTTTTCAGAGATCATTTTGACTAGGACCATTTTGTAGGAACAAACATGTAATCTGGGAAACGAGAAGATGGTTACAGAGGTTTAAGCGAGACCTGATGGTGACTTCAACCGTTAGGGTGGTGGAGGAAGTGATGAGCAGTCGAGTCAGGGAATTGAGATAGAGCAGGCATTTGGAAGATGGCTGGGGGATGAGATGAGATCATGCATGAGGAGAACGTAATACTGTGCCTGGAGCATGCCAGATGCTCTTACCGGAGTTGCTCCATCTTCATTAACGTCATGTTGCTGAGGTCTGTACCTTCACAGCTGCTCCACCTACTTCGTATTTTATGCAAGAAAGACATGCCCACATCACAGTTAGAGTGTTTTTTTCTTAGTGGTTAAAAGGGAGCGTAGTGTTACACTGCATACAAACAGTCCTTTTTCTTATCTACTCTGTACAATGAGACAATATTACCCCAAGTTTACAGGATAAAGCTCAGGCCAGGAAAAGTAAAAAACACACCAAGGTCACACATCTAAAGAGTAGTTGTTGTTGTTGTTGTTGTTGTGTGCCGTGGAGTCAGTTCCGACTCATAGCGACCCTGTACAGGGTATCCGAGGCTGTAAATTTTTATGGAAGCAGAACGCCTCATCTTTCTCCCGCGGAACAGCTGGTAGTTTCGAACTGCTGACCTTGCGGCTCACAGCCCAATTAGGAATGTCTGTCTCCACAATCTGCTCTACATGCTGTTCTGGTTTTACTGCTAAGGGCAGTCCCTAAGTGGCTTACTTAAGGTCGCAGAGCTAGTCACTGCTAGTCATTCCTGACTAACAGTTCATGCCCCTTTCACAGTGTCATTTTATTTTTGTGTTTTGGCGGATTTGATCCACTCCTGTAAATTTTGCAGTTGGTGAAGATATTGGAGTTTTCACTTGCTTGTATTTCTCCTTTTGCAGAATACAGATTCCTAGTTAATCTGTGTCACATATCAAGGTTTAACATCACTTTGCTCTATTTTATACATAGATTAAAAGAGCAAGTGAAAAACATTTCTCAGTAGCTGCAACATTTGAGAAGCTTATTAATCCTTTTTGTGTTCTTCTGTTAACTAAGAAATATCAATAGAAGTAAATCAATCCTTGGGGATTTCTAGCTACCATGGTGCTGTATTTTTCTCATATTTGGCTCAATTTCTGTGCCTCTCTGCTTCCAGGTACCATTCACTGTATTTTCCATGCAACTGGGCACCACTACACTTGGAAAAAAGTTACCACGACAGTGCACAACATCATTGTTGGGAAGTTGTGGATAGATCAGGTGAGTAAGAGTGCCCACAGTGCTTCTGAGGTTCACAAAGACGTCCTTAGGGACAGCTTTGCAGTACAGACAGTATCTGGGGTACCAACAAGATCCCTCCCTCTCTGTGTTTCTAAGAATGTATAGGTAAGTTGGACCAGGTGCATACAGATCCTTGTTTAGCCTGACTCTAAAGTCAAAAAAAAAGAAAGAAAGCTTGGCCCTTTTGTTACGATTTTAAAGTTCTACATGCAACAAGTGAAAATGATAGTGATGAAGAATTTGTTGAGTGTAGGGGTTTGTTACATTTGTTCAAAGTGAGGATAAATTTACATAATATTAAAGGGCAAGTATGAGTTGTGCCTAAGTCAGACATTGGTAACTTGGGGGCTTGCCTGTATGTCACCTGGGCCCCAGAAAGTTGTTACAGTGTTGAGTTTTACCTAGGCAGTTTCTCGGAGGCAGTATCCCTCCTCCTCCCTTTTTCACTCCCCACTATCTGTAATGTAGTCACGCCCTTACTGCTTATCAAGGATCCAGTTGGAACTTCTGTTCAGTGATTCTAAGACTATGTTGGGCATTGTGAAGGATATCAGAAAATAATAAACCTGGTCCCCACTCTTCATCCTTTCATTATTCATCAACCACTTACTGCCGGACTAGTAGAGGAGATGTCCTAAGATAATATCGGTTGCCAGTTTTCACAGGGAAAATGGAAATTGTGTTGAATCTTACAAAATGGGTTGGGATTTGAATGATCAGGGGACATGAATAAAATGTAGAAAGGGTCACTGTGTGGAATGTTGACATTGTGAGTAGAGAGAGAACTTGGGTTTAATTACAGGGTTCATGAAGTACTTACTACAGCAGGGGAGTAGTTTCCAGGGTAAATTATTATGTGGATTTCAGTGTCAGTGCTGAAAGGCAGGGCTTCGAACCATTTCGTTTTTGTTCAGCCCCTCACTGAGAACTGGCTTTCCCACCCCAGATTTACTGAATCGGACTAACATTTTAACAAGATCCCCAGGTGTCATTCTTAAAGATTCTGATTATTTGTGGGGTAGAGATACAAATTCTTAGCAGGAGTCAAACTGGTGTGAATCCCTAGCTAGAGGTCACACCATAATTATATAGCAATTAAAACCAAAACCAAAAAGGTCATTTGATCTTGATCCCAATCTGGAATACCAAAGTTACAAAGGGATTCCACATCTCCAAGGTAGACTGAGACCTGACTCTTAAGGCAAAGTAGCACTGGAATGGAAGAGAGAGAAGTAAGAAAACTATGAGGCATGGGGGTTTGGTATGGTCATGCCATTCAGTCTTAATAAAATAATTCTTTTCATTATTTGCAGTCTGGTGAAATTGATATTGTGAATCACAAGACAGGAGACAAATGCAATCTGAAGTTTGTTCCTTATAGCTATTTCTCTCGGGATGTAGCAAGAAAGGTAAAGAAAGTTGGAGTTGAAATTTTATAATTTCTTTTCATTTAATGTGTGTCTCTTCAGAAGCTATTCCTTTGGGGCTGTAGATAGATAGATAGAGATAGAGATAGATAGATATCCGAAACAGTGATTCAAAAAGTAGAGGTGAAGGAGACAAAGTCTTCAAGAAAGGGAACTGTAGTACTTGCGTCATTAAACCAAACCCTTATATCTTTGGTGAAGATGACAAGTGAGGAATTAAAAGTTAGAGCCATAAGAGACAGAAAATGGACACTTCGGAGAAAGGACCAATAGAAAGAAAACAGGAAAAGAACCCTGAAGAATTTGAAGGGCATTTGTGTTCTACTGCGGTGGAATTGTGCATTTCTGTAGGGGAGTGAACACTAGCTGGGAAGATCAATCTGTGATACCCAGAGAGAGATAAAAATGACGATCTGAGTAATAACATATATTATTGCAGTGAAAGTTTCTGTTGAACAAGATGATAATGAAAGCTCCAACTCACAGCGAAGTTCTTTCAGGCAGTGTAACAAATTACAGCCCAACAATTTGGATGGCCCGTGGTCTGTCCTAACAGTCTCTAGCCTGTATTTGCCCTAGGACCTTGGCTTCTGGAATAGTGGGATCAGCTCCCCACCATGAGTGCTGCACTTCAGAGCCTGCTCTCCATCCTTGTAGGTGACAGGGGAAGTGACAGATGCATCAGGAAAAGTTCACTTTGCACTTCTCGGAACGTGGGACGAGAAAATGGATTGTTTCAAAGTACAACCAGTCATTGGGGAGAATGGGAGTGACACTCGTCAGAGAGGCCACGAAGCAGAGGAGAGCAAGATCATGCTGTGGAAAAGGAACCCTTTACCGTGAGTACCAGTGTGCGGGCAGGGGTGTCTGCAGTGCAGGTTGGCTTGCCCTTCTACTTGCTTATGCAGAGTGAGCACTGGAGAGCTGACCAGACAGTTTTCACTGGACTGGGTTCATGTTAGCATGCCTTTTATTAAGAAAGTTCAGATTCATTAAACCACACCTACCAAGAAATGGGAGTCCTGGTGTGGTGCTGTGGGTTAACGCGCCAGACTGCAAAGCCGTTTGAACTGTAAGGTCGGCGGTTCAAGCTCCTCAGCTGCTCCTTGGAAGCCCTATACAGGGTCGCTATGGGTCGCAAACAACCACCACCACCAGGAAATGAATTGGTATTTTCTAAAGGCCCGTAGGAGTCCTGGTATGGCGCTGTAGGATAAGCACTGGGCTATTAACCACAAGGTTGGTGGTTCAAACCACAAGCCACTCCTTGGAAACCCTATACAGGGTCGCTATGAGTCCTAATTGACTCGATGGCACTTAACAATAATCAAGGCCCTTAGGAATGTACTCATTCCGAAGGTTATTTTTCTACAGTTTGGAACAAAACTCTTGAGAAAGTTGTTCGAGGAGAAAGGTGTCTGTTAACAGTTTACCTCAAAGGCCCAGCAGCAGTATAGAGGTCCCTGAGACAACACATGGGACTTACATGTTACGTAAGGTAACAGTTTACGTCAGAGATTGGCTGTCTCCTGTTACCATCTAATACCATCCATTCTGAAGGAACAGCCATGATTATGTCAGAAAGAGGTGAAAGGGGAAGAAAACAGGGACAAAGAACTTGAGTTTGGTAGAATGGGGCATTTTTCCTAAGAGTGTAGATAGCTACTTCGGCTGAGTGTGCCACATCCAGTGGAGGGACGGGATTTTGGGGGACAAGCTAGGGTACATCCCTCCACTTGATAGTGGACCTCGATTCTTTGCATTTTTCCTTAGAGAGGAAATCTTTGGCAGTGTACTGAGTTATTGCTCTTGGACTGGGACCTGGGACCCAGCATTCCCATTCTCTTTCTCACCCTTAGGAAGAATGCGGAAAACATGTACTACTTCTCAGAGCTTGCTCTGACTCTCAATGCCTGGGAGGGTGGCACAGCCCCCACAGACAGCAGGTTACGGCCTGACCAGAGACTGATGGAAAATGGGCGCTGGGATGAAGCAAATGCTGAGAAACAGCGCTTGGAGGAAAAACAAAGACTTTCCAGAAAGAAGAGAGAAGCCGAAGCTATGAAAGCCACAGAGGATGGTAATGGATCTGCCTTCCACTCGGTTTCCTGATCCCTGGAAAATGCTAGTGTGTTTTCAACCCTAATTCTGATTGTCTTTCCTTTCTCTTTTCAGGCACATCCTACGATCCCTACAAGGCGCTGTGGTTTGAACGGAAGAAAGATCCTGTTACCAAGGAGTTGACCCATATTTATGGGGGAGGATACTGGGAGTGTAAAGAAAAACAGGACTGGAACACATGCCCGGACATTTTCTGAGGTGGCAGTAGCAGTTTGAAGGTGGATCCAAAGGAGAAGAGGACAGAGGATGTGCGGGAAAGCCGGCAGTTGGAACTTTCTTACCGAGTGCTTTCCTCAAGTTTGTCTGTCTTAACCAATCATTCTATTCCCAAATCAGTCACCAGAAGCAGATGCCAGTGGTGGTGATTGGCTGGTTGCCTTAGCTGATTGAAACTGAAATCAACGTACTAGATACTGGTGTGTGTAAGGGAGAGGTTTAGTGATGACCCTTAGTGTTTTTACATCTACAAAGTCAAGGATTCTTGGCTTTTCCTTCTCCCTCCGCCCCCAATTAAGATGATGTCACCACCCCTCCTTGTAGTATCCTTTTCAGCCAAAATCAACATAAGGTGATGATTCTGGGGCATTGTGGTGCTGTTCAGAGAGAGAGCTGATGTGAGAAGCTCCTTTAAAAAGAAACACAGACTTACTCATGGAGGCATCTGGTGTTATGAAATGTGTTCATAAATGGGGTGTCTGCCATATTGGACTGTCTGGGAGAAGGCTTTTTTCTGCGGGAACGGAAGATTCAGAGTCACGTTCTTGGAAGTTTCTGTTTTCACTTGCGTAAAACACCCTTCTGCTGTTCTCCATCTTCCTCAGCAGCAGCCAGAGGCCACATAGGTTGCGTTTCCCTCACAAAGGGGTTTTGCGGACTTCCTCAGGTGGAGAACTTCTGAGAACACAAGGCAGGACGGATGAAGACTGCCGGGCACTTTCGCTTTCCTGGGTCCTCCTCAGTCCCGTCCTTCTTTGCCTTCCTAGCTTCTCTTCTGTTTCTGGCCAGATAACCAGTTGTGCCCCCATGTGGAGCAAAACCTTGTCTTGTTCCCATTCTGATCCACTTCAGAAGCGGAGAGACGGCGTTAATCTGGAATGAGAGTTTTCTCCATCTCTTAAGCCCCAAGGACTGGAGCCACCTCTGGAATAATGTGTTAAATATCTGTATATTATATATATGTAGAGAAAAATCTAATTTTTTTGTTTGATTTTCCTTCCTCCCATTAAGAATCTTGGTTTTTGATATGGCTTGTCTCCCTGGGACTCCGCATTGGACACACGTGGGTGTGGATTGGAGCTCCTCTGCCTGCCTGCCTGCTTTCAGGGGCAGATTGAAAGCTGAGCAGGGTCATGGCTGGCCGTTACTCAGCAGGGATGTTGTCTGTGGTTTGTAACATGAAATGTCCACCTCTGTCTAAACTTGGCTTTCCGAATTAGCCGACTGTTGAACATGAAATCCACACTGCTGTCCTGGCTCTCTCGATTCCTTTGTTAGGAAGAGCACGGCTAGCAGGTCACCAGAGTCGTTTGCAGTTGAACGCTGCCTCTACCCCCATCACAGCCCACAGGAGAAAGCCCTAGAGAACCTTCCAGGTGGCAGGCAGGTTGCCGTTGTGGGGCCCTGGTTCCTCTGTTGTCTTTCTGGTCCTGTATCTGTTTCCATTGTCTTTTTGAAAACTCGGACCCCTGCGTCCCCCACCCTTGGTTGAGGATCACAAATTGAGGTGCCTTCCTTGTGTGTATTTTGTTAGTGGTTTCTCTTTCTGTTCCTTAACTGCTGAGCCTCAGCCGGTGTGGGCCCTATGGGGAAATATCATTCCAGAGGAAGCCATGCCCCCAGGGAAGTTAGATTGCTACTAGGGACATTCGTTCTCTCACGTCCTCACCATCCCTCCCTCTCTAGCTGTGAGAAGCCCCGAGAGAGGAGCAGGTGCTGGGGAAACTTCCTCCAAAGAATCCTACTCCCCACACAAGGAACGGGGGTGCCGGGGCACCGTGAGCTGAGCTGAGCAGGCGTTTCTCCCAGAGCGGGAATTTGCCCGGCTCAGTTGAACTTCCTGGCCTCCCGCTTTTCTTCCTCTACCATCTGCACTACATTCTGGCTTGATCCCTAATCAGATTCTGCTAATGGAAGAAGTGTGAGTCCTTCAGGTGGAATAAAGTCACATGGAAAAAAAACAAAACTATATATATTTTTGGTTTTTTTGCCTTATTGCTTTTTTCCAAGAAAACTACTAAATTAAATAATTTTTAAAAAGTCCCATTGTTTGTCTGATTCACTTCTACTGGGGCTGGGGGAGATCTGGTAACTGGTCCAAAAGTGATTTGTTCCGTTTGAGATTTCTGGGGTCCTGGTTCCATGAAAAATTGGAAAAGAGAGAGAGACCTGAAAGAAAACCCAGGCTGGTTTCCAGAAGCGTTCGCTATTCGATGTCATACTGTGGGGGTGCCTATGAGCAGGAGAGTTGGTTTTTTTTAACACTCCCTGCCCCATCAGTGGAGTCTTGGTGCGGCACTGTGGGCTAACGCGCTGGACTGCGAAGTCAAATTGCACTGCAAGGTTGGCAGTTGAAGCTCACCAATTGCTCTTTGGAAACCCTATACAAGGTTGTTATGGGTCAGAACTGATTGGCATCTACCAACAACAAGCACCTCAGTAGGCGCCCTGTGTTCTGTAATCATCATCCCCGGAAGGACATCCAGTGTTTCCGGTCCTCAAGCTGTTTCACCTCAAAGAAATCTGTTTTGATTTAACGCCTCTTGACCTGTTTAGATTCTGATTCTAGCTGTTTCATCTAGGGACTCAAAAGTCTATTGTTTGAAGCATAAGCAGTTAAATTTCTGTTTGAAGACCTTTGAAAGAAGTGTTGAGAGGAAAAAGCACATTTTCTCTGAAGTTGGGGCTCGGGGACCTCGCGTGTACTGAGCATCCAATTCTCTATACCGGCTGCAGAGGTAGGAACTCAACCTTGTCTAGTTCACATTTGGACAGTTAAGTGGTAAATAACTGTTAGTCATTTTGAAGATGAAGAAAGTTGCTCCAAGAAAATAACGTAAGCAAATCCATAGAACCGATTGGTATTTAGTCTCAGTGGTGCAATGTGAAGGTGAGTTCGTAACCCCTGCAACCCTGGTGCCGTGGGATAAGTTAATTGAGTTGGAAGGCAGCCGTGAGGCGTTCCCGCTCGGGTTGTATCATCATGTGCTGAGATGCACGTTTCTATTTCTGGAGGTTGGTTTATGTGATTAGGATCCCTGGGTGGCACACGGTTTGTAATCAATTACTAAAACCTGAAGGTTGACTTGAACCCACCCAGCGGCATCACGGAAGACAGGCTGTGAAGAAAACCCCAAGAGCAGTTCTATAACATGGGGTTGGGGCTTTGGTTTCTGTTAATGATAATTAGTTTAGGGGAGTCCTCCTGAAGGAAGCTCATCCTCTAAACTTGATTTCTCAGGGCCTGAGCTTTTCCTAGCCTGGTTCTTAGGAAGGCCGCTTGCCTGTGCATGTCATTTGCTTCATTCGCGTTACTGGACATGATCAGCTTGGCAGCTTCTCTGGTAAGTTGAAAAGCACTGCTGTATTCTCTTGGCGCTTGTGGAAGAGGCACCCTGCTATCTGGAATAGGACTGGGCACTTCTTTGCACTGAGGCAGGCAGATGGCGCTGAAACGGTTCAATCCTTGGAGTCTGATGGGTCACTGGTGAGAGTTGAGATGTAACTCCCAAGGAGCCTACCTCACTCAACGTTAGCAGTCAGGTAAGAGGACGCCTGATGGTGTAGCCCTAAAATGAGGTAGAAAACTCCCACTTTATTCACTATCGGTGTATCTCTTAGGGAGAAGACCAACGTGAAGAACTGCTTCTTGAAGTTGATAGCTTTTGCCCAGAATTCTGCCCCACTTTATCATGGGTCTTCTCTTCCAAATCTTTGCTCCTCACTGGCGCTGTAGGATAACTACAGGACCACAAGGTCGGTTGGAATTACAAGGTCGGCGGTTCAAACTCAGCAGCCACCTTATATAGGGTCGCGTATATAGGTCGGAACTGATAACAGCACCACCAACAACCATCTTAAAGTAGGAGCTCTATTTAGTGGATTATGCATTGGACTGCTAACCAGAAGTTCAGCAGTTAGAGTCCACCAGCTGCTTGGCGGAAGGCAATCTTCATGACCTCAGAAACCCTCCACAGAATCGCGATGACTTGGAACAGGTCGACAGTATGCACATCTTCTGGTGAAAACCACCTGCTGTGGTTCACATAAATCTGTTGGGGAAGGAGGCAGTGACCAGATGAAGACAAGGAACCTAAGAGTTAAGACTCTTAAAAAGTAGCTTTGCAGAGAGATCATGTTCTCTTTACCAGGTACTCTAGTGTTCCTAAAGGTCCCTTGCTGGAGCAAGCACTTGTATTCAACTACCCTAAAGGTTGGCAGTTCAAACTGACCCACCCCAACCACGGAGGGAAGACCTGGCCACGGGCTTTCCTAAAGATGAAAACGCTGTGGAGCAGCTGTACTTTGTAAGAATGGGATCACCTTGAGTCCTTTGATGGTCATGGGTTTCCAAAGATCAGTTGGCCCTGAAATACGACTAGGAATGGCTTCATTCACTCTTTAAACATTTATTGAGCCTGCTGTGTATCACAGATTGTGGATAAAAGAAGAAAACCCAGAAAACAGGCCATCGCCATCGAGTTAGAAAAGCATTGTGCTGTTACGTGCCTTCAAGTGGGTTCTGACTCCTGGCAACCCCATACACAACAGAACAGAATACTACCAGCTTCTGCACCAGCCTCACAACTAGTGGGAGCCCATGGTTGCTGCCACTGTGTCAGTCCTTGTTGGGGGGGTGAGGGGAGGGTCCTCCTCTTTACCATGCATGAGGTCATTCTCCAGGGACTGGTCCCTCCGGACAGCAAGCCCAAAGTACCAGAGACAAAGTCTCACCATCCTCGCTTCAGAAGAACATTCTGGCTGTACTTCTTCCAACACAGATTTGTTTGTTCTTCTGGCAGTCAGTGGCACTTTTCAGTATTCTTTGGCAACACCACAATTAAAATTCACTGACTCTTCTAGTCTTTCTTAATTGTCTAACTCTCATTTGCATATGAGGTGATTTAACATGCCATGGCTTGGGTCCTCAGAGTGACATATTTGCTCTTTCATACTTTAAAGAAGTTTTTTACAACAGATTTGCCTTATGCAATGCATCATTTGATTTCTTTTTTAAAAATGTTTTATTGTGAATTATATGATAGTTTACATGAGAGAACTTTAGTTTTACATTCATTCCATCGTATATCATCT